ATTTATTTATTTATTTTATGGCACTAGGGGTTGAACTCAGGACCCTGTGCTCGCCAGGCAAGCACCTATTCTACTGAGCCATCTCCCCAATGTATGCTTGGCTTTAGTTGTTTTTGTTAAATCAGACACAGTGGTGCATGCCTGCAGTCCTAGCAACAAGGAAGCTGAGGCTGAAAGATTACATGTTCAAGGCCAGCCTGATCCGTTTTGTGAAACTTTGTCTCAAAATAAAAAAAGAAAAAGAGGCTGAGGATATAGTGTAATGGTAGAGCGCTGCCTAATATGCACAGGCCCAGGTTCAACCTCCAATACTTAAAAAAAAAAAAAAAAAAAGTGGGGGAGATTGTTCATATTTTTTGATTGTTCGTACTAAATGTAAAAGAAATCAAATTTTCATACAGCTATGAATCTATGTTTTCATAACTCATCTGAGCCCTTGTGGTAAGATGAAGGAGGGCTCAAACCTACATTATTAGAAGTTACTAATTGGGCATGGACCTGGAATAAGGCAGAAGGATCACTCTGAGAATAAGGCAGAAGGATCACGAATTTCAGTCCAGCAGGGTAACCTTGATTTAGTAAGATCCTATCTTAAATGAAAGCAAAAGGATGGGGAGGGGGAGAAAGGGTAGGGAGAGGGACAGAGGAGGGGGGGGCAGAAGAGGAGGAAGAGGAAGAGGACGAAGGAGAAGAAGGAGCACAGCCAGGCCTGTGGATGCATTCCTGTAACCCCAGCACTTGGGAAGCCGAGGCAGGAGGATTGCCCTGAGTTCTAGATCAGTCTGGACTACAAAGCGAATTCAAGGCCTGGCTGAACCACATAGGGAGACCCTGGTTCAAAAAAAAGAAAGAAAAAGACAAAATTCAAATTGAACATCCTGAATCTGAAGTTCCAGAAAAAGACTGGGATGGTCAGTGGGTTCAATCTCCAATACCACAAAATCAAAACAAAACAAAACAAAAAAATCCCTTTTAAAAAATTATTTTTCCAGGGGCCGGGGAGATGGCTCAGTAGAATAAGCGCTTCCCTGGCAAGCTCAAGCACCTGAGTTCAATCCCCGGTTCTGGGGGGAAAAAAAAAAAATCCTTTTAAGATGAATTTGCTAGGTGTGGTGGCACACGCCTATAATCCTAGAAAAGCCTGGGCTACATAGCTAGACCCTGTCTCAAAAAACAAACAAGGGGCTGGTGAGATGGCTCAGTGGTCTAAAGCACCTACTTAGAACAAGCTTAGCAAAGCAAAGGGACCACGGTTCAATCCCCCAGCACCACATGCCAGCCAGCTCCGCCCCCTGGTGGG